ATCAAGTCTTGGCTAAACAGGATAATATATAAAGTAATACGATTTTTTTTTAATTGGCTTTTTCTCGACGATTATTATTCTCAAATTGCACGTTGTGTTCCAATATAAATAAACATGAAAAGAATGCTCATAACTAATCTACTTAACGTTTTCCAAAATTATCAAGACAAGAAGCTAAGATAAGACTTGAGGATTAAAGAATCTTCGATTTCTCAATTTTAACAACAGTAAGTGGATTACATTATGTTATCATTTTTTTTTCTTTTAATTTTTTATACCTTTGGGTCAAACACAATGTGTACACTTTATGTAATTTCATTATTGCTTATGTTTCGACAGAATCAAGTAGCTTGATATCGTATTTGTGTTGAATCTTTTATTTAATATATAAATAATTTAAAATACAGTAAGCTACCTTCTTTGAAATTCAGAATTCGCAAACTCAAAATCCTAATTTCCGCCTCTAAATTAAGGAGAACAAGAAACATTCTCACATTCATACAAAAATGTTTATGGTGGTAGTCTCCTCTAAATTCTAATAAATGGTTTACACTACGATTAATCTAGCAAACTATTCAAAGCCAATTTTCATAATAAGTGTTAGAAAAATAATTTTGATAACTCAAAAAAAAAATATTCAAATTAGTGTCTAGATTCATTCATTTAATGAGTGTTTATTATACTAATTAATCAAATATATTTTAATGTCTATAACTGAAAATTAAAATAATTATGAATTTGACCAAAGTTGGTCTTGTATGACCGTTTACTTAATATTAAATTTGATAACCATTTCCTTTAACTTTTGTAACTAACGCTTCAATTGGCCTTAATGATTTGCCGGTTTGGCATTTGAAGCCTTAAATGGATTCTAATAATTTTTATTACCTATAAGACTATATAAATATGTTTTTTTTGTGTTCATTTTGGAGTAAAGTGAAAAGAGTGGAAGAAAGTAAAACATTCTTCTATTGTGCTGGGTTGTCTTTATTAATCTTTGTTGTTTCTGCTCCTAGTTTATACTAGAAGAGCTTGTTGAATCCTGGGGGATACGCCTAATATTATTTATCACGGTGCGGGCGAAATATCCTTAAGGACACCCCTCAAGCTAAACCTTATTCTTCATAATTAATCCAATATTATTCCAACAATCTTAAGGATATTTCCACATTCTTTTATTATGAAGAATCAAATTTGACGATATACAAGTCGTTGTTCTAATTCTGAAAATGGGATCTGCACTTCACATTTGCACAATGGTATCATGGAGAATATCATTATGTATTCAAATTATATTTTATGAGCTGCAATATGTTAATCAAGTTGTTGTTTCAATTTTGTGCATTATCGCATCATGGAGGATAAGTTGCACTACAAAATTAAGGTACGCCTTTTCTAGTATTTGAATGCGCCTAAGGGATAAGCTTACATAATTGTAGATTTTTAGTTATATAATTCAATCCGGGGTACATAATTATATTTATTTAAGAAACCGCTTTATTCTAAAAGCTCTTAAAAAATATTCTTTCATGCTTTCTATTGGAATCCATATCTCATTGTAATTTCTTCGAGAATTAATGTGTTCAACTTTAGCACAAACTATGTGAATTTGATAGTAGGACTTTTCGATCTGTGGTGAATTATTTTATTCTTGTTAGATTGATTCTTATTGTTAATTAAGAATTACACTTAAAAGTGGTAACCATCTAATAGAAAAAGTGGGTTACTGAATGAATCTCTTCAATAGCAAAATTGACGAAATTTGCTATGCCAAGTTTGATAAATTTTTCAATTGAAGTATTTTCATTTTCTTTGAAATCACATGAATATGATTTTTCCAAACCTCTATCAAGACATATGTGCTTTGGAAAAAATTTCTAGATAGATCTCTATCTTTTGGACAGGTTAGTTCTATTCATGTAATTGGAGATTTAAGTGAATGAGAATTGAAAAAGCACATAAGATTAAATTGTTTGATTTTTCTTGTGATGATGTACCAGATTTAAATATTTATTACTTTTATTACTTAAGATATTGGGACTTTTCAATTAATTGATAAATTGCATGCTTATTGGTTCATATGATAATCTTCGAGGTGACGCTATATTATTAGCTTGTTATTTATAAAGTAGAACTCTTTATGAGTTATGAAAATGTTATCTCCTTAACTTGAAATTTTCGAAAATGTGGGGGACCATGGTGTCCTGAGTTATCTAGCTTGATCTTAAGAAGAGGAAAAGAAACTGGTTATTAAAATTATAACATTGAAGCCTTATAAAAATGAGAATTTTTGTGAAAAAAATTTTTATATTGGAAGATCAAAAGTATGTTGTATTTTTTGGCTCCGAAAAGTTATTTCATTACGGATCTCTTAGTCATTTGGGTGATGAAGAAATCATTGAATTATGATCCGCTTCCTACTGATTTGAGATATTTCTGTAGAAGCTAAAGTTGCTTCTATATTTTAGAAAATTTTATTTTGGTGCTTGACTATGGAAGATACATAAAGTTTCTTGAAAGATGTTTCAAAAGGTATGGGTACAGAAGTCAAGTTTTATTTCATTTGAAATGATTTTATGCCTTATTTGAGAAATACTATGAGTTAGTATTTTGTATGTGAATCTTCCACTGTATTAGAAGGATACAGTGATGATATTGAATCTTTGATTCAAATGAGAAAAAACTAGCTAGTTATTGTGTGATCACCTTTTGGTGGTTGTTAAGCTATTGGAACTGTCTGGCAATGAGGTTGATTAAGCAACCTCTTGTTGAGTTAAACCGACAATAATTATGTCGATGAATTGTGATTGCCAAAGCGCAATATTCCACTAGGAATTAAACCGACAACATTTGTGTCGATGAATTGTGATTGCCAAGGCATAATAGCCATTGTAAGAAAAAAAATCTTTCAATGGGAAGAGTAGATACATTTTCTTGAGATATAATGTGATAAAGCAGCTGCTGAAAGATGGAATTATTTTCATAGATTATGTGAAGTCAGAAGTGAATTTGGCCAATCCTCTGACTAAACCTTTGGGAAGAAAATTAATATATGAAACATCGAGGGGAATGGGACTTTTGCCAATTTGAGTTATATCAACTGTGATGGTAACCCAACCTATGTGATTGGAGATCCCATGAAGTAGGTTCATATGGGTAATAACAAGTCATTAGTTGATCAAATATGCACTATCAAATTAGATTATGTCTCTTCCTATGGTGTGTGCGTGTATATAGTGCAAGACTGCAAGGAATGTGAGGTTGAGTTATTAAACTCTTAATCCAATAATCCATAGCCTTTTGTAGGCGGTGTATGTACTGCAAAATACACTTGATGGATGGACCTATATGAGTGTGGAGTGGGGCCGCTCCTATGAAATTTGTGGCAAAATTTCTAGAGCACTCATGAAAACCAGGCGCGCGCATGGCCTATTAGCGCAAAACCGCGATAAACATCAAAGTGTGTGGGGGTATAATGTGATAGATAAGACACTAAACTTACAAAAGAATTCTTGGTTCATAGAAGTTTTAAACTTCACCAATTGTTCTGTAAGTTTAATCTTATTTTATCTAGGTCTGGTTCATAGTCCAAGAGACACCAGATTCGATGCATTATGCTCATTTGTGAAAACTCAGCGAAACTGTTTATTTTACTCTATTACTTAATATTCTTTTGAATTATGTGGGGGATTGTTAGAAAAATAATTTTGATAACTCAAAAAGAAATATTCAAATTAGTGTCTAGATTCATTCATTTAATGAGTGTTTATTATACTAATTGATCAAATATATTTTAATGTCTATAACTGAAAATTAGAATAATTATGAATTTGACCAAAGTTGGTCTTGTATGACCGTTTACTTAATATTAAATTTGATAACCATTTCCTTTAACTTTTGTAACTAACGCTTCAATTGGCCTTAATGATTTGACGGTTTGGCATTTGAAGCCTTAATGGATTGCTAATAATTTTTATTACCTATAAGACTATATAAATATGTCTTTTTGTGTTCATTTTGGAGTAGAGTGAAAAGAGTGGAAGAAAGTAAAACATTTTTCTATTGTGCTGGGTTGTCTTTATTAATCTTTGTTGTTTCTGCTCCTAGTTTATACTAGAAGAGCTTGTTGAATCCTGGGGGATACGCCTAATATTATTTATCACGGTGTGGGAGAAATATCCTTAAGGACAGTGTCCTTGACACCCCTCAAGCTAAACCTTATTCTTCATAATTAATCCAATATTATTCCAACAATAAGTGCCCGTTTGGCCATAACTCTTTTATTTTACTTTTCTCTAAAAAATTTAATTTTTTTCGGAATCAGTGATTGGCCATGAAATTTTAAATTTCACTTGCACTTGAATTTTGAAAATTTTGTAACTTTGATAAACTATAAAAAACTGTTTTTAAATTTTTTTTACTTCAAATCACTCAAAAAAAAAATCAAAAACAGCTTCAAATTATATTCATGTCCAAACACAACTCTAATTTTCAAATACCCTTTTCACTTGAATTTTTTTCCCCCAATTTTTTCAAAAATTTCATAATTCTTGTGTCCAATAACCCACCAAGATTAGCCCCGAAAGCGTATAAATAACATTTATGAGATGTTTAAAAAAAGAAGTACGTTTATTTAACCACAAAAAAAAAAAAAAAAAAAAAAAGCTTAGGTCACAGAAGTAAGGGAACGTACAAAATATTGTCCTATTTCTTTCATGGCAAAAACAAAAAGTGTAACCAACCATGAAAGCATCCTAGCCTGTCGAAAACTACAATAAAATAACTTACTTTCACATAAGTAATAAAAAAAGCTTCGATTAATTATCCACTCACTCTCTCAAGAAAGTCTATCAGAAACAATCTTTCTACCTGCACAAGGTAGGGCTAACGCTGCGTCATCACTATCCTCCCTAGAATCCACTTGATATGCTGTTGTTGTTGTTGTCGTTGTCGTCTCTTGAGAAAACGGAGGAGGAAACAAAATGACATAGCTTCATTATTTATTTCATATTTGGTAGCTGAAAATCTCCCATTTCATAATACTCTTCCCTCTGAGAAGCATGCATTTGATAAGAAGCTGCAGCATTTGGCAACATAGGATGATACTGATGAAAGTAGTTATTAGGTGTCACCATTGGTACAAAATAACACAATGGTTGAGGTTGTTGATCAACATTACTTAACATCATATTATTATCTCGAGCCAAATCCCTGTGACACACCTGCACCTGTTGATTTTCGATAATATTTCCACTCGCATTTAACATCGCTAAATGTGGCTCATAACCAGTAGCGGTGCAGTGAGGTATTCCAGTTGAGATTCCTGAACTTTGATGATTATCTCGTCGTATCATCTGATGCTGCCCAAATTGCATAATTTCTGTCTCCGGGAAATTTATCGGTGGCACAAATTGTTTCTGCTGCTGCTCAATAATTTCCAATTGTAAACTGCTTTTTCTAGCCAAACATTGCATTACACATTGGGTATTTGGTTGAGTTACTTGCTTTCCAAGAAAACTCATTGCATGCATGTCCTCTAATGATATTGTCTGCGTTCCTTTCAAGAATTCCAACCTGCGGTTACAAAAATAATAGAATGAAATAATTGTAAGACGGCTTTGAAGCGCGAAAAATCACTATCTTTAAATAAATTCCAATCCTATATAGTAATCTTTCAGATTAAAACAAAGTCACTGCATAGTGAAAGTTAATTAATTTCGTTCAAAGGGTGTTGGCTAAAATATAAAACTAAAACATACATTTATATTAAAATCAAGTTTTGAATAAAACTAAAAATACCAAATCTTTTACAATTAAAAAAGACTTCAAAGTCATTTTAAACATAACCACCCCCACCCCCACCCCACCACCCACCCCAAAAAAAAATAGAAGAATTAACCCAAATAGGCGCCCACCCTACCACTTAAACTAAAAATAGACGGTGGAGGTATAATATATGCGTAATCTATGTATTATATGTGCATAACACATGTATAATCTATGTATATGGCTAGAAAAATATATAATTAATATGACCGGCTATTTGTATAAAGAGAGAATTCTTTTATATTTTGTACAAATCACTCTTTCTGTCCTAATTTATATTATATATTTTTTATTTCGAGAGTCAAACGAGTTTTGTATGTCTTAATTTCTTATATGACTATTAAATATTTTGAAATATTATTTATTGTGACTTCTAATGCCTTTTATGTGTAGTTTTCAAACATTTAAATTTTATTTTAAAAAATTCAAAAATTTCATGTTCGATTTATAGTTAATTAAGAAGTTTGACACTTAAAATTCAAACAGCGTTGCATAAATTGGGACTGAGGGAGTATTTAACAATACCTTTGCTTCATAAACTCGATTTTTGCCCCCAATAAAGCAGAAAGTTGTTTGAGTTGATCAGAAGATAAATTATCATAGAGTTGATCCCAAGTTGGATATTTAGCCTCAAAATTCTTTTTGCATAATTTTGAAGACTCGATCTCGACTTTTCTTGTTAAGTCTCTGAAGTAAAAAGATAAATCATGAGTTCTCAGTCTCTGATCATCGTCCGATCGAGCTTTGTACGAGTCGATTAAGCTCTGAACTGTGTCTTTTTCGGGCCAGATTGTCGGTTCCCTATCTTTTGGACCATATATAATCATGCATAGTTTGACTTGACATAATGTTGATAATTCATCGGCTTTTTTCTCCAAACCTTTTTTTCTCTTTTGATACGTCGAATTTCGAGATCTTTCGTTTTTAATAAGTTCCATGCCAATTTTTCTTCGGCCCATCTGTTGAATTCACAACAATTTCAGAAAAAAATTGTGAGTTTGGGTAATAAAAAAGAAAATGGCTAAGTTAAAAGTAGCATTTTGTATAATCAAAGTAAATGGAACGATATATGTTATGTCCTATATGCCGTCAATAATGTAGAGTTTTAAAAAAAAATCCAACTATTACAGATAATTAAATTGGTCTTATATGAAGGTATAAGAATGTTTTCCTTAAGAAAGAAACCTTTGGGCAAGACCAATTAATTACTTAAGTTTTTTTGACTATTTTCACACATATTAAAAAAATCATCTTTTAACATTAATTTTTTTGACCATATTAACCTTACTTTACTCCAAGGGTAAATTTAAAAAAATAGGTTAATTTATTCTTGATATCTAAACAAATTAAATATTGTGGACCACCAGAAAAAGACCAAAAAATCAATTAAAGTGGACCAGAGGAGTACTCATTTACATGCTAGAGGAGAAAAAAGTAAGTAACTTTAACATATGTTTGTCTCTCGAAATTCGAAGTGCATCACATTAATTAGAACAGATGGAGTATCTAAGATTAAAAAAAAAAAGGAATATAATTTAATAAAATAGAGCCTAAGGTTCAAGAGGTAGAAAATCTTTACACAATAGGCAACCAACTGTTATACATAGATTATACATCGGATTTTTCATATGTCGACTATTTTAAGTTTGAGCGCTTGGGCCAGTGACTATTTAAGTTAATTCTTCAAAATTGAAAGCATCTATACATCTTCTTGAAAAAATTTAGTTAATTTTCTTTATGTGATAGAACAATAATAAGAAACTCATTAGTATTTGCAAAAATAAAACACATCAATATCAAGAAAAATTGTATGTAATTGTTCAGTAAAGCCAAGAAATTAACAATTACCTCTTTGTAATCAACTTTAAATCTTCAAAATTAAACCCTTTGTTTCTGAGACACCAATGTGGCTGAGAAGAAAAGTATGCAAAAGTTTAGTAACTCAAATTCCAAAAAGAGAAAAATAAACAAGAAAGAACACCAATAATTATTACAACTGCTTGAATTAATTAAACCCAATTTCAGGAATAATTGCTAAAATAATTGGATAAAACAGAGCTAAAAACAGCAAGAAAGAGAGAAATTGAAGAAGGAATACCAAATTAATCGCTAAGTTAAATCAAAGAAGAAGGCTTTAATCTCCTTTTAAGGTATTTTATATTTACCATTTTTTGTTCTTCGTATGTATTTAGTCCAAATTGTAGGATTAATACGTTTTGAGTAAGAATATTTTTCTTTCCTTTTTGGTTTACTTTGTATATTTTCTTTGTCCTAATTTTGCTTTGTTACCTTTTATTTCATTTTTTAGGTTCTTATATCGATTGTCTTTCCTTTAATAGAAGTTGTACTCAATTTACTTGTCCACTCTCTCCGTTCAAGCCTTTTATTAGTCTTTATTTAATTTATTTAATATTTATGTCAAATCAATAATAACTTTCATAAACTCTTTTATCATTTAATTAAAGGGCAGTCTGGTGTACAAGGCATTCCGTATTCACGTAGGGTCTAGGGAGGGCCGTATCTCAAAAGGCGGGCAGTCCGGTGCACAAGGCATCCCGTATTCACGTAGGGTCCAGGGAGGGCCGCATCTCCGTATTCACGTCCAGGGAGGGCCGCAGCATTAGTAACTTTAATGTTGCTCCAAGATTCCCCTTCTTATGTCATCTAAATATTGTTAATTAATATACATTTTCACCTCAATTATTACTTAACCGTGATAAAATACATTGATTTAGCGTAAATAGAGTGCCCAAGTCCTAACCAAGAGTCACATAATGACTTTTTTTTTGCTTTGTTCTTTTTTGGTGACTTGAGAACTAAACATCATGTGTATCCATAGTTTACCAACGTGTTTAATAAAATATAGCATTAAGTTTTTATATTATCAGGTTACTTAATAGTTATTACAACAATCATATAATAAATGGAGACTAGTTGTAAAATAAGATTAATTTACTCCAATAAATTAAACTGCTTTTGTACCGTAAAAAGAAGTGTTACATTGCTATTATATTTATGTCAAAATCTTTTGAAGAATATTACCAAAAAAATCTTTTTCGGATAAAAGTTAATGAATTGCGACCTATATGGGTCAGCCCAATTTAAGTTTGTACATGGTCATTGGGGGAGAAATTAAAAAATAGCCAGATTTACAAGTGGTCATTCAAAAATAGCCACAATTTCAAAAGTCATCAAAATTTAGCCACTTTTCATGTAAAGATAAATCTGAACAAAAATATTGTTCAAAATACGGAAAATACTCCAGCGTAATATACTGGAACTCCAGTATAATATATTGGAGTTCCAGCAAAGTATACTGGGACTCTAGCATATTATATTGGAGCCAACAAAGTATACCGGTCCAGCATAATATGCTGGAAGTTCATACACAGGTGCACCGAACTCCAGTATATTATGCTGGACCAGTCGCTGTTGCAGCAAAATAATGGCTATTTTTCAATGACTTGGCAAACGCTGGCTATTTTTGAATGACCAGTCTGAAAACTGGCGAGCCCACGGTCATTGGGACTTCAGCATTGATACTGAACATCCTGAAAAAAGAAAGAAGAATTACCCCAAATAGTCATCCACCCAACCGCTTAAATTAGAAATAGTCGATGGATATATAATATGTGTATAACTTATATATTACATGTGTATAATTATGTATAATCAATGTATAATCTATAGTACACCCACTGGGGTGCAGCCATTTCCCTGACCCTGCATGAATACAGAATACTTTGTGCATCGGATTACCCCCAATATATAATTTATATATATGGCTAGAAAAAGCAAACAGTAAATATGGGCGACAATTTGTGCAAAGATACCAAAAAGAAACAGGAAAGTAAAAAGATGGAAGGCCGATTTACATAAATGTCTCTTTTTAGGTTACTGTTTTGATTTTGCCACTATTTTCAGAAGATGTGCAAATATAACCCTCAAGAAATTGGGTTATTTGCTAAACAACTAATATAAAAAGGGACAATTGGTGAAACAAGATTGAACTGCTTTGCTCCTGCAAAATGAAATGTGATAACCAAGTATAGCACTATTTTTCTGGCATTATATACATAAGACATCTTTCAAATTTGTGTTGCAACATTGTACCAAGACAATTTCTACACTGTCAAAAAGACCTTTTATAGGCAATTGCAACATCTCAGACAACTTACACATAGTAGTTCCCATAACTCTGCCCAAAAAAGAATGAGTTACTATGGAACTTTCTACTCAAATATAATTAGCTTACATCATTACATGAACCATCTTGCAGAAACGGCCTCTTGCAAAAATGCAGGGTAAGGCTGCGTACAATAGACCTTTGTGGTCTGGCCCTTCCTCGGATCCCGCGCATAGCGGGCGCTTAGTGCACCGGGCTGCCCCATGAACCATCTCCCATAGCAAGCATAGCTCTACTTGATAGAAAAACTACATAAATAGTCATAAGTCCCAACCCTAACAACTTGCTCGGGCGCATATCGTTTCGTGGTAGCACGATGAGTGCCCAAACTAATGCCAACATTAGAAATCCCATTGTGTAATACAAGCTATCATCTGTTGGAAACATATACGATTGTGGCTTCTTTGACAAAGATCCAAGGAGCATTGAGATGCCTAAACCAATAAGTGTGTTGAACATAGGCCCCGCGTAACAACCCGACATAGCAATCTGCACACCATCTGCACTATTCACTGCTATCGCGACATTTGACATTAAGTCACCCATTGAGTTGCCCCATGCCAATACAGTTAATGCTAGAATCGATGGTTTGATACCAAAGATAACACCAAATGCCACTAGCAACGCCACTAGCTCGTTAGCCACGATGTAAAACCAAATAATACTCATAAAGAAACCTCCGAAAAGCCATGGAAATAAGCATCTCCGAGGCGGATGATCAACATTTGTGTAGATGAATGCAATACCTCCAAGTATACCACCAACTATAGCACCAACAACATATGCAGCGCTAGCAGGGTAGTGCAAATCATCCTGAGTGTTCCAAAGGAACGCTAAAAGCAGGGGCGCCAACGTAGCACTGGAAACAGCATATACTTTTGACCATCTTTCCTCATCGACAATAGGAATTGTTAACCTTCTTGGAAGTGTTAATGGTATTTCTAGCAGTGAAAACAACTTGGAACACGAAAAGGAAGATGACTGATAATTCACATCGTCCTGTTCATTCCAACCCCACAAAACCATTGGACTTTCTCCGCGATTGTCCTTCACAACTTCATCAGAGAAAATTGCCACATTCGAAAGCCACATCCAATGTGGCATCTGACCCTGTAGTTGCACCAATCCATCAACAGATTCCGACTTAAGAAGAGGCGCACTTAAAGAATCGTGCTCTCCATCTACACTACTAGACAACATACTAGCTGTAACCGGCAACAACGGACTAACTGAATCCAACTTCAAACTACTACTACTACTACTACCACCACAACGATTCCTTAACATCTCAGTTACAGCAACAAAAACAGCATACACCAAATAAATAGAGACAAAGGCAACAGCACCTAAAACAGTCACCTTGCCTATAATCAAAAGAGCTAGAAGCGAAACGAGCGCTACAATAAAGAAACACACATCCCTAATAAAACATTTCTTATCAATCCTAATACATTGCTCAGCAACACATAAGGAGACAGTACCAACTACAACACAGGTAACAAAAACAGCTCCACCAAGAACACTATTCAAACCAACATCCCCAGAATCACTGCCCATAAAAGCAGCAATACTCGCAAAAACATCAGGTGCTCCATTCCCTAAAGGGAGAAGAGTAACACCAGCTACAGTTGGTGGCAGTTTTAACAAATTAGACAACTTTTCAAGACAACAACAGAAGTAATCAGCAGCTGTATTTCCCAACAAATAGAACAAACCAATCAACCAAATGGCAAGTGTCACATACCCTAAAAAACTAAAACTTTCACAGTCACAGTAAAAGAACATAAGATAATTAAAGAAACCCCCTGAATTACATTGAGGATTAGCCTTTAAATACTCACATTTAGTACTATAACCCTTATGTTTATACAACCCTGCACAGAATTTGAGATTACTAGTTGACACCCCAACATCTTGAATTTCAACAATTTCTCTTCTAACAGTACTAATTTTGAAGCTCCTTATAAAGGAATAAGATTTCTTAGAAAATGGACTTTGAAGAACATTTTGTCTATGGAAGAAGAAAAGAACCAAAACAGACAAACAAACTCCATTGAAAATTCCACGAAACCTGGACCTTTTCCTACAGTAAAAACGGTTCAAAGCTTCCATTTTTTTTTCCAATTCTTGAAAAAACTTAATTCTACAAGAAAGTGACTGGTGAAGAAAAAACCAAAATTTGGGTCTTTCAAGATTTTGAATTCTATTAACCAAACTTGGAAAATTCAAAGGAAAATTCCAAGAAATTTAGCTGAGACAAAAATTGTCAACTGAGGATGTTATAAAGCAAAAGACAGAGAAATTACTAGCTGGTTTGTTACTTTTATAGGTGAAATTTTGGATATTTTTTTTGGGTAAATTTTGAAGAGAGAAATGGTAAGAAAGGAGGAGGAGATGAAACTGGGGAGTTAAGGTAAAGGCGCAAAATAATAGGGAGAGGGAGCCATGAAAAATGACGCGTAGGACAAAGGAACAGAAGATTTAGCATAGGAGACAAGTGGTCGCTTTCTATGATGAGTCGAATGTTCTTTTCAATAATTTGGGCTTTTTGGGCCCCCACTTACCCAATCATAGAGTCCATAATATTTAAATGATAAAATTCTCTATTATTTTCCTTTATATTGTTAAAATTCTTTGTGTCTTATTTTAATTTTTTTGGTTTTCCCTTTTGTTTTTAATGGTAAACAATTTAAATTTGTTTATACTATTTGACTTAGAGAGTGTTCGAATTGGCTTTTAAGCTGGTCAAATCAGCTTTTAAAATCTTTTTAGTTATTTCAGCGTTTGGCAAATTTAGAAAATGCTTAAAATAAGTTTAAAACTGCTTAAAACAAGCAAAAAACAGTCACCTGGGCAACCTCAACTTATTGTTTTTTGGCTTAAAAGTTATTTTTGCGAAAAAGCTACTTTTTTAAGTCAATCCAAACGGACTCTTAATTTGACTTTTTTAATAGATTTTTAGTCCAATCATAACATTGTTGTTAGCAAATCGGAAGGGGAATATTCAGAAAACTCGATTTCTTGTCTTAAGAACCTGACTCAAAAGAGAGAGAAAAATCGGACTAAGAGAGATTTCGCTTTCGACGATTGAACTTACTTTTATATCCAAATTGGAATGAATTTAAACGTCTTTGGATCCTGTTTAGGGACAACTTTCACTTCACTTTCACTTTCACTTTCACTTTCATATCAGGAACATCGACTTGCACTTATAATATTTAATTTGGTATTTATTCCTATTATTAATGAAATTCCAGTATGAAATGGATAAACTTCCCACGTCTAAATTTTTTGAGAAAAAGAGGCCATATTTACATCCCAACTTTTAATTATAATTTAAAATTAATCTTGTCAAGACAAAAATGAAATTTTTTTTCCTTACTACGAGATAGGATTGGACAGAAACTTAAAAATGGCAATATTGTTAATTTGAATACGTTTTTATTTATTATATTTATGTTAGCGTGTCGGTTTAGCAAATAAATGGGAATGGAACCAGCTGCTTCTTTTATAAAGTGACTTCTCGTCTATACCGACATATATCGGAATTTTATATTCTGAAAAAAGTAATATTTATACCTGAAAAAAGTCGTTCAGATTTGTTATGATTACGTATTGATATTAGCATGAATGTTGCCACGTGGATTTGCTTTATGTCCATTAATCTGATGAGACCAGCTAAAAAAATGGGAAAAATGACATTGTATAGCCGCTAATAAAATAATAATCGAAAAATATAATTTTTTGTATATCAGTATATATTTTATATGTTAGACAAAAATTATACGAATTTTATATACTTTTTCGATTATCGAATATAAATAATTTTTTACGCGGGCTAAAAATAATAATATTCCCAGAAAGATATATGAATTCTTGAAATGTGCGTCGTCGATCGGGACACTACTATAAGGATATTAATTTTGCTTCGAGGCTAAGTTGTAGACAATATATATAGGAAAACACACAACTTTTCACACTTGCACGAAACAGATAAGAAAAGTTTTAACGTCTTGGGCTTTAACTGAGCATTTATTATTGTTAAAATATCATGGTATAGCCAGTTTTCACACTGGTCAATGAAAAATAGCCAGCGTTTATCAAGTCAATGAAAAATAGCCACTATTTTGCTGCAATAGGGACCGGTCCAGTATAATATACGGGAGTTCTAGTGCATTTGTGTACGAACTCCAGCATATTATGCTGGACCGGTATACTTTGCTAACTCCTGTAAAATTTGCGGGAGACTGGAGGACTAGTGCTCCAAACTCCAGTATATTATACTGGACAATTATACTTGCTGGAACTCCCATAAAATTTGCGGGAGTTCCAGCATAATTATGCTTGGACTCCCGTAAAATTTGCGGGAGTTCCAGCATACTTATGCTGGAACTCCCCTAAAATTTGCGGGCGTATTTTCTGGATCTTGAACAGTGTTTTCGCTCAGATTTAAAGTGGCTAAATTTCGATGACTTTTGAAACTTGGCTATTTTTCAACGACCAGTGGTAAATCTGGCTATTTTTGAATTTCTCCCTTTATTATTTTGTGACAATGATGCTTCGTCTTATCGATCATCTCATAGTGTATTATATAGTTCATTATAAAAATAATAATTTTGTACCAAATTTATTTATATTCAGGACTATCGTTTGCGATAATATAATGAATGTTATTGATGAAGGTACTGTTGGGTATTGTGATAGTTTTTAGAATTTGTGGATATAAGTCATGTTTCATGCTTTTTTTTTTAAAGTAAAATATGTTTTGAAATCCAAACACAATTTTATCTTCAAACCAAATTTCAGCCAAATCAGATTTTTCAAAACAAATTTGGAAAACTATGGCCAAACGCTAGCTTAATCTATATAAAAAAAATTACCTTTGTTTCAATATATTTGACTGGACATTTTTGCTTCGGTTTTCTAGTATTTTATTGTTGTTATTGTTTGTTGTCACTGCTTCAGTTAGTTTTCTCTTGAGCCGAGGGTCTATCAGAAATAGCATTTTGCCCTTCTAAGACAGGAGTAAGCTATGTGTATGTTGCCCTTCCGAGGCAGGAGTAAGCTCCTTAGACCTAACTTGCGAAATTTTACTGTATTTGTTATTTTAATTTGACTGGACAAAAAATTTAAGAATTTTTCTTTAAAAAAATATGACTATAAATACATGCCATTAAGTGGAAAAATAGGAATATATATAATTAAATTAGTTTCAAATATAAAAATTGTTATGGTTACTGCTTGTTTCTTATTATCTTGTTGTTGGTATTGTTGTTGTTGTTGTTGTTACTGTTTTCTTTTTCTTTCCTTGAGCCGAGGGTCTATCGGAAACAACCTCTCTACCCTCAAAGGTAGGGGGGTAAGGTCTGCGTACACACTACCCTCCCCAGACCCTATTTGTGGGATTATACTGGGTTTGTTGTTGTTGTTTCAAATATAAAAACATATAATTTTTTGAAAAAAAAAACTAATTAGAAAATATAAAGTCATATACTACATTTCTTAAATCTTTCATACTTCAGCCGACAAAGTTAGTTAAAGTTAGATGAGATACCAACCTTTGTAATTAGGCAAAGCGAGATTGACAATTAAGGAATAAATTACAAGTAATTTTGCAGCATACGTAATACGAATGATTTATCATTAAAAGCTTCAAAGATAAGATGGAAAGTGGTTAAAGACAGATTTATAATGTGATTTATGAATTAACTGAAACTCAGATGCTTTTATCAAATCTTGTACATATATATACTAAAATATTCATTAAATATCTATACTATTTGACAATAAATCTAGTTATCATATGTTAACTTGAAATCGTTATAGAAACTCATAAACTTCAAAACTGAATTTGTCTACGTAAAGTGTAACAGTAACGTCCGTATCCAGGATTTCAAGAGCATGAGTGCACCACTACCTTTAAGATAAATATTGTTTGATTTTTGACAATATAATTTTTTTTACGGTGATCCAAGTTGACGAGCAAACTCTAATTAATATTATAATATTATTAGTATTATAAATGTCCTCGACGAGTTTTCATACTTTGAAAACTATCACTAATAGCATCATTGTTTTAAATATCTTATGTTCTATATATCAAGCTAAACATCATTAAAAAATTCTACATCCATCCTATTACATAGATCTTTTTATGTACTTCTATTTCTCTATAGATATGCGATTTGCATTATGTTTTGCTTATATTGGGAGGGGGAAGGGTTTAAGATTAATTTTATTATCTTTTCCCAATACTTCATTTCTTGACCAAATATTAAAAAAAATTGAGAGATTAGCATTCCAGTTTTGAAATATTTTTTTTCAACGAACACTTACAACTTACTATTATCAGTGATAATTTTCAAGAGGAAAAGATGGGATCACATTTTGATGATAGGCTATAATTGCATATTTTAGTCGCTTATTACACTCGAATTTACTGCACTTTAATTGAGTTTGCGCTTTAATCGCTAGTGTTTTGCACTAATTGTGTGTTTTATGCCTTGTAGGTGTGATTCCGAGCTATATAGATGTTATGGAATGAATTTAAGTGATTTTAAACTTTGAAGTCTGAGTAAAAGCTCAAGGAATTAAGCCGGGATCGTGTTCGGGGGTCAAATTTGATAATTAAGTACGAACGAAGACTTGAGGAGGCATATTGCGCACTGTCTAGTAAAATAGACATAACTTTTTGCTCAGAACTCCATTTGGGCTCCACAATATATGGTTGGAAAGCTAACTCAAAGGGCTACAACTTTCATGTTTTACGTTTTCCCAAATTCCAAACGGAACAGGGCGAAAAACCGTGGTTTTGCCGAGACCGCGGCAGAACCGCGGTGGAAGGCAGTTTCTGAAGAATGAAGAATCCGCGAGGGCGTTTGGCCGCGGTTCCACCGCGATCGCGGTGAAACCGCGGTGGGAAGCGTAAATTTCAGGGGCTAAAGTGTAAAACATGGGATTTTAAGTCCTAAACCCTATATAAAACAAAGGAGGCCGGCCTAGAACAAGAAGAGGACATATTTTGGACACAAATTAGACCTAAGGAGGCGGAGAGACACTACTTTAGGGTTAGACAACACCCTTGGAGGCAAGAACACATTGGGAGCAAGGCGGAAAATTCTTCTACAAGTTTTTCCTTCCTCTTCCTATTTTTCATTGTTGGTTATGACTTTTAGTATTGTAGTTTTACATACTATTATGAATAGCTAATTTGTTATCTAGAGTTTTGATAGAACCTTTTGTAGGATAAATTCTTGTTATGTTTTTATATAATTGAGCCATAGCTTTTCTCTATTTGTTCAACTACGTTTATATTCTAGTTGATTGAAGAGCTCTCAATTAGCTGTCCCTATTTAGTATGCATAACTCGGGAGAGAGTGCATATTTAGGTAATTGTTGAACAACACCACTCCCAAAGTATATGAGGGATCAATAACCGAGGGTTTAAAGGC